GAGAGAGAATGAGAGAGAGAGAGAGAGAGAGAGAGAGAGAGAGAAAGAGAGAGAGAGAGAGAGAGCATGAGGTCGATTCCCAAGTGGGGAGGGGGTTTTCTACATCCAGTATCCCTGGCTGTCTGCTGGCAGAGTCGAAGCCGGTATCATCGAAATTGTGTTGATGGAGGCGTTTACACATAATGTAGGTCTGTGCAAAGGACTCGTGGCTAGGTGAAAATGTTCCAGGAAGAGAGAATAAATAACCTGACCCTGCTCGGACTAGAATATCGAAAGCCGCAAGACAACATGTCTGGTGTTTTGCCCTTCATTTGAGTGCTCAGTTGCACCAAAGTGTGGTTTTGTCTGGGTGATTTTAAACAAATATATATTTTGTTTGCTTTTTTAAAAAGGAGAGCAAAGAGCGGTGACCATGTCAATGTACAGTCGGGGGTATTATTTTCATTCAATAGTTAGCTCTTCTTGTAGATAGACATCAGGAGAACTGAGGGTTCTTAGAGACAGCTGAAAATACATGCTCACGATAGTAGAGACAGAAGAGAGTTTGTGGATGGTTTACGCGCGCTTCACGAGAGGCTGAAGAAGTTATCGAGAAGAAAGCCCCTTGAATAAACTTTCGGTATTGAACGGGGTTGTTGAACCCAAACAATGCGATTCTCTATCACAAGTTTTGGGTACATTCTATTTTCAACTCAAGGGTCATGTCATGTCATATTCAGTGCTTCTCTTTTCAGCACTTCGCATAAAATCACAAGTTCTCCGAGAATATGGTAGGTAGCCTTGTGCACTAGAAAAGTGGGTGGAGCGGGTGCTCTGGTGTGGTTTGCTCCCTTTTTCCCCACCAAACATCTACGGTCCTTATCTCTCCCCCTTCTTTTCTTTGCTTATTATTCTCTAGAAACAGATCTAATCTTCAGCACTTGTATAACCTACTTCTTGAGACGACAGAGTTGTGGTCCATAAGACGCATGCTGTGTAAAAAAAAAATGACAGCTAGAAAAACAAATGAAAAAGTCTTAGTTGAAGCAAATTGCATACGACAGCCTACGACGATTATACGAAAGTGACAGGCAAATTTTATTGGACACACATTGTGGAAAGTTTGATAGAAAGAGAGGCAGAGGCAGACAGAGAGAAAAGATACTGGACAAGTTAACCACATGGCTGGGAACAGCAAGAACAACAGACACCATCGCCACAACGCAGGACAGAGGGAAGTGGAAGTCATTGATCGCCCATGCCAGTCGGCACGGCACCGGATGAGATGTTGACCTATTTGTGTTGCAAGTGACGTAAAGCTCTTATTCAAAGTAATACACTAGAAAAAAAACTACCAAAATTCATACATAATTTATTATTGACACAAACTTGCAAATGTATGATATGTTTAATTATTTTCCACTAGCTGCCAAATATTAAACCATGAAAAGGTGGCTTCTTCGTTTAAGATTTTAAGGTCTGAAGAGTGTGTGGTTTCTTTTAAAAAGTGATGCAAAGGTTGATGCCACCAAAACCATGTATATATTGAAACACATCGAAAAAAGGGTATTTCTCTCCGGAAAATGTAGACTAAGTTGTGATATTTCAGATTGTTTGCTTTTGTAAAAAGAAAAACATCGACATGGGGACTGGTGTTTCGCGCACAGAAAAAGTAAAACAGACAGACTGAAAAAACCTGCATAACTTTAGAATTGGGCATAACTTTAGAATTGGAACGTATAAGTAGCGCCCCTCCCCCCTTTCCCCCAACCCTCTGTAGACATTCCAAAGTAGAGATGGAAATTGTTAAATGTTTAGGTAAAGAGACCCTGGAACAATAAAATTCATCAGTACTGAGTATCGGCAAGACAGAGGAAAAAGGAATTAACAGAGAGGGAATAAAAAAAATAGGACCTTCCGTTGACCCCTTATAACACTTACAACGCGTAAATGATAAGTGAAAACAACACATAGTTTCTGTTTTATGTTTTGACTGGGGATTAGAGGTGACACTAGAGAGTAACATACAAAGAAAGGAACAAGCTAAAAGGGCGATTTGAAAGAAAAACCAGTCCACACCAGAGCAACTGGCAACCACACACAAAATCTGTCTACGAAGGAACGTAGGGCCTAGACAAGGAATTCAAAATGGGGGAGGGTGGGGAGAATATGCCTAGACTATCCCTTAGCAAGGGGCTCGATCTCACAAAGGTATATTCAAAGTCTAAACAAAACAAAGAAACATTCGACCTTTTGGGCATAACTTTTCTCAAACCGGCACGCCTGCGTGCTCGAGCACACGCACGCACACACACACACACACACACACACACATA